TCTGCTATTGGTGTATAGGAATGCTTGTGATTTCCGCACATCGATTTTTTTATCCTGAGACTTTGCTGAAGTTGCTTATCAGTTTAAGGAGATTTTGGGCTGAGACGATGGGGTCTTCCAAACATACAATCATGTCATCTGCAAATAGAGACAATTTGACTTCCTCTTTTCCTAATTGAATGCCTTTATTTCTTTTTCTTACCTGAGTGCTCTGGCTAGAACTTCCAATACTATATTGAATAGGAGTGGTGTAGAGGGCATCCTTGTCTAGTGCCAGATTTCAGAGGAAATGCTTCCAGTTTTTCCCCAATCAGTATGATAGGTGCTGTGGGTTTGTCACAAATAGCTTTTATTATTTTGAGATACGTTCCATTGATACCTAGTTTATTGAGAGTTTTTAGCATAAAGGGCTGTTGAATTTTGTCGAAGGCCTCTCTGCATTTATTGAGATAATCATGTGGTTTTTGTGTTTGGTTCTGCTTATGTGGTGAATTACATTGATAGACTTGCTTATGTTGAACCAGGGATCAACATAAGTATCCCCAGGATGAAGCCTACTTGATCATGATGGATAAGCTTTTCAATGTGCTGTTGCAATTGGTTTGCCAGTATTTTAGAAAAGATTTTTGCATCTATGTTCATCATGGATATTGGCCTGAAGTTTTCCTTTTTTTGTTGAGTCTCTTCCAGGTTTTGGTATCAGGATGAGGTTGGTCTCATAAAATAATTTGGGAAGGATTCCCTTTTTTTAGATTGTTTGGAATAGTTTTGGAAGGAGTCGTACCAGCTCCTCTTTGTATGTCTAGTAGAATTCAGCTGTGAACCCATCTGGACCTGGGCTTTTTTTTTGTTGGTAGGCTATTAATTGCTGCCTCAACTTAGGCCTTGTTATTGGTCTATTCAGGGTTTCCACTTCTTCCTGGTTTAGGCTTGGGAGGGTGCAAGTGTCCAGGAATTTATCCTTTTCTTCCAGGTTTACTGGTTTGTGAGCATAGAGTTGTTTGTAGTAATCTCTGATGGTAGTTTGCATTTCTGTGGAATCAGTGGTGATATCCCCTTTATTGTTTTTTATTGCATCTATTTGATTCTTCTCTCTTTACTTGTTTATTAATCTGGCTAGCAGTCTGTCTATATTATTAATTTTTTCAAAAAACTAGCTTCTGGATTTATTGATTTTTTGAAGGGTTTTATTGTGTCTTTATCTCCTTCAGTTCTGCTGTGATCTTAGTTATTTCTTGTCTTCTGCTGGCTTTTGAGTTTTTTTTTATCTTGCTCCTCTAGCTCTTTCAATTTTGATGATAGGGTGTCAATTTTATATCTTTCCTTGCTTCTCATATGAGTATTTATTGCTATAAAATTTCCTCTAGACACTGCTTTAAATGTGTCCCAGAGATTCTAGTACATTGTGTGTTCGTTCGCGTTGGTTTCAAAGAACATCTTTATTTCTGCCTTGATTTCAATGTTTATCCACTCAACATTCAAGAGCCAGTTCTTCAGTTTCCATGAAGTTCTGTGGTTCTGAGTTAGTTTCTTAATCCTGAGTTCTAATTTGATTGCCTTGTGGCCTGAGAGACTGTTTGTTACGATTTCCATTCTTTTGCATTTGCTGAGGAGTAATTTACTTCCAACTATGTGGTCAGTTTTAGAGTAGGTGCCATGGGGTGCTGAGAAAAATGCATATTCTGTGGATTTCGGGTGGAGAGTTCTGTATATGTCTATTAGGTTTGCTTGGTCCATATCTGAGTTCAAGTCCTCGATATCCTTGTTAATTTGCTGTCTTGTTGATCTAATATTGATAGTGGAGTGTAAAAGTCTCCCACTATAATTTTGTGGGAGTCTAAGTCTCTTTGTAGGTCATTAAGAACTTGCTTTATGTATCTGGGTGTTCCTGTATTGGGTGCATATATGTTTAGGATTGTTAGCTCTTCTTGTGGCATTGATCCTTTTACCATTACGTAATGCCATTCTTTGTCTCTTTTGATCTTTGTTGGTTTAAAGTCTATTTTATTGGACGCTAGGATTGTAACTCCTGCTTTATTTTGGTCTCCATTTGCTTGATAAATCTTCTTCTATCCCTTTATTTTGAGCCTATGTATGTCCTTGCACATGAGATGGGTTTCCTGGATACAGTACACCGATGGGTTTTGACTTTTTATCCAATTTGCTATCTGTGTCAAATCAAAAGATTGGGTCATTTAGCCCATTTACATTTAAGGTTAATATTGTTATGTGTGAATTTGATCCTGCCATTTGAAGCTAGCTGGTTGTTTTGCTCATTAGTTGATACAGTTTCTTCATTGTGTCAATGTTCTTTACCATTTGGTACATTTTTGGAGTGCCTGGTGCTGATTGTTCCTTTCTATGTTTAGTGTTTCGTTCAGGAGCTCTTGTAAGCAGACCTTTGGTGATGAAATCACTGAGCAATTGCTTATTCATAATGGATTTTATTTCTCCTTCACTTATGAAGCTTAGTTTGGCTGGAGCTGCTTGAGAAGACAGTACATTCAGAGCTGCTGGCCAGGTACATTTAAATCTACTGCAGCAGAACTCATAACCGCCTTTTTTTCCCAGATCCTCTGTCCTGGGAAGGTGGGACTTTATTGCTAAGTTCCTGACATGCTCCTGCCTTTTTTCAGAGATGCCCTGCCCAGTGAAGAGGTAGCCTAGTCAGAGTCTGTCAGCAGAGGTGTTGCTGAGCTGCTGTGGGCTCTGCCCTGCTGCTGTATGAACTTTCTTGCAGTTTTGCTTATAGAGGTATAGTTAGAACTGCCTTGGTAATGATGGTCTGCCTCAGTAATGGCAGACTGCCTCAGTAGTGGTGGACTGCCTTGGTAATAGCAGATGCCCTTCCCCCCACAGAGCTGGACCATCCTGAGTCCAGCTGTGCTTGCTGTGAAATTCTCAATCCAGAGCGTTTCAGATTGCTGGTCTTTGTGGGGGTGGGACCCGCCAAGCCAAATCACCTAGCTCCCTGTTTTAGCCTCCTTTTATTTCAGTTGAATGGGCAACTCTGTCTCCCAGCCATCCTAGGTGCTAGTTGAAATGGCCACCCAGATTTGTGTGAGTTTTTCTGCGGAGACCTGCTGTGCCAGCAGAAATAGCCATGCTGGAAACTTGTGGCACTTTTCCACCCTGGAATCTCCTGGTCTGTGGGCAGTAAAAACTCATTTGGAAATGTGATGATCAGTCACCCTCTGTGTTCTCACTGGGAACTGCACTCCAGAGCTGTTCCTATTTGGCCATCTTGGATCCTTCCCACCAAGAACCTTTTTTTTTTAAAGTTCATTTTATAGATACCAATTAGAAGTAGAGTGATATGTCTTTTCCCCTGTCCTTGCATATTGGATTCCAGGCAAAATCCAACTTATGTATTTAGTTATGTCTATTTATCTTAGAATATTACTCGGGCATTCTCGTGTATTTTATTGTTCATTGCTCTCTGCCCAGTTATATTTATGCTGTAACTACCATGAATATGCTAACAGGTGTTGCAGTTTACAGCTGGATGAAACCAGAAGTGTGGTGTGTGAATCAGTTTTTAGTACAGGAGAAAGTCTCAACAAAGGGAGAAATGCATGACAATTTTTTGTTTAGTTTCATGCTAACAATTCAAACTGGTAAAGAGGATAATTTCTATTTAACTGATGATTGGTTTTGAGCATTCATATAGACTAGAAAGAATACATTCTCATAAATGCTAATACTAAGACCCACTAAATGTGCAATAAAGATTAGGGTTGCTGTAGATGAAATTGGCTCCACCTATACTCTCAGCCACATGGTGATTTATTCATAGAGAAGAGTTAGCAGCCAACAATTTGCCCCCTACTTTCAATTTGAAGTGGAAAAAAGGTACAAATTGTGAATATAACAAAATGGTCATCAGTGAATACAGATAGAACAAGGCTCTGCTTTTTCAAATTGAAGTCTTGAATTTCAGTAGAAATGTAAGCACATGAGTATTTGAAAAGAGGCTTGAAATGAAAGCATTTCCTTGCAACCTAGACCAAAACAAAGACAATATTTCTATGACTTCCAGTACTTCCTTCCAGAAATGTCATTCTAGAAATATTAGGGCATTTAGAAATACAATCATGTCACCCCAGATCCAAAATCCCACAATTCTAAAATGGAAGAATAGAAAATGTCATGATTTCTTAAAGTCCACATTTTGGTACTACGGCTCAGTTACTAAAACTATAAGTTTTTCTTCAACAACTAACAATTTTCTTAGCTTCTTGGTCAAGAAGGAAATAGATGTTTACATTTTATATAATAACTTGATTGCTGAAAATTTGCCTTTTTGCCAACTTTATAATTTTATTTACTTTTGTAAAAAAATTTGATTCAAATGATGCAAGAGAATATAAAAACAAAAAAAGAATAATTTGCAAATCTTAATGCAACCAGTATAAGAATGAAGAATGCATCCTCAAGATGAAATATTCAGTCTTGTCTGCTTTGAGGAGGATGTAACCATTGACCCAAAACTCAACAGCATGGAAAGTTATCTTCACTCAAAGCCACCATTATGATTTGAATCCATATTCAAATGAGAATATCAGATATTTCTAGTATTCAAATGATAATACTTGGTATTCTAATTTGCCTGAGAAATATCTTAGAAATACCTGAGAAATATCTGGTATTCTCATTTGAATATGGACTCAAAACATATGCTGCCATCCTTCATGACATATAAGTATGGGTTAGGATTTTCTACTTTTGTTTAAAGTATGTATAGTAGTAAAAAAGAGAACCAAGTTGACAAATAAGGACCTATTTCTTAGGTTTTCTATCATCAATCTAAATGCAAAAATGTTGGCAAAAGTTTACAAGAATTTTTTTACTCTCATTATGAAATCATTGTAATTGAACTTGAAATTATTTATGTTAAATAGCTCTTTTTATATTTAGAAGTATAAAGATTTTTTTAAACATGAAAATTTTGGGTCAATATATATTCTGAATAATCATTAAACACTCTATTAATGTAAAAAAAAAGACAATATCATTCTTCCAAATATTCAATCACTTAAGATAAGCACAGTCAAAAAAATTAATAATCATCAGACTTACTAATTGTGCTGCCACTATTTAAATATGTAAAGTCAAATATATCTTATTTTAGCTATCCAAATTTATTAATCAAAGTAGTGTAATCTTTATGAATTAAGAAAAAACATCAGAGAATTAGAACTGTAGACTCTTTCAGGTACCAGCAAATTTTTGGTAAATCAGATGCTGTATTTAAAATGAATACTGACTCTTACTGAGATATGTTAGTATAGTGAACACTTGACCCCCACCTTCTGTATTCCAGCTACTGCCCAAATAACCCATTCTTCACCCTGACTTGACATTCAACCATTTCAACCACATTCATTCATTCACTTTTTTGTACATAAATAAAACATTTATCAATAGTAGCCATTCCAACAGAGATTATGACTCATTGTGGTTTTGATTTGCATTTCTCTGATGCTTAGTGATGCTGGGCACATTTTCACATACCTGGTGTGTATTTCCATCTTCTTTGGACACATATAATATTCAAGTCCTTGTTTTAAAAACATATTTTAGATATTAATCTCTTTTTTTTTTTTTTTTTTTTTTTTGATGGAGTTTCACTCATCTTACCCAGGCTGGAGTGCAAAGGCGCAGTCTCGGCTCACCGCAACCTCCACCTCCTGGGCTCAAGCAATTAGATCTTAATCTCTTATTACATAAATGGTTTTCAAATATTTTCTGCCCAGGTTACCTTTTCACTCTGTCGATGGCTTTCTTTGCTACATAGAAGCTGTTTTCCATTTGATGTAGTTCCATTCATCTGCTTCTGCTTTTGCTGTCTGCGCTTTTGGTGTCATACTCAAGCCGTCACCGTCTATGCAAAAGTCAAGAAGTTCTTCTCCTTGAGCGGGTTTCATAGTTTTAGGTCTTAATATTTAAGTCATTTATCTATTTTGAGTTGATTTTTGTGCATAGTGTGATAATTTGATTCTTTGCATGTGATATCAAGTTTTCCCAGCATCATTTGTGGAAGACACTATCATTTCCCCACTGTCAAAGATAAATTGACCATATATGAATGGCTACTATCAAAATATAACAAGTGTTTGTGAAGATCTCAAGAAATTGAAACCCTTTCATACTGTTGGTGAGAGCGTAAAATGGTGCAGCCACTACGGAAAATAGTTTGGAGTTTCCTCCAAAAATTAAAAATGGAAGTATCATATGATCCAGCAATCCTCCTTCTGGGTATATAATATAAATAATTGAAATCAAAATCTCAAGGAGATACCTGCACTCCCATGTTCATTACAACATTATTCACAAGAGCCAAGATGTGGGAAAAACTCAAATGTCCATTGACAGAGTAGTGGATTTAAAAAATTGTAGTATGTACATAGAATGAAACATTGTTCAGTTTTAAAAAAGACAGAACTCCCATAACATGGAACAACATAGACTCTTCAGGATTTGGTGATGAACTTAGAGTACGTTATGCTAAGCCATTCACAGAAGGACAAATACTGCATGATTCCACAAATATGATGGATCTAAAATAGTTACACTCATAGAAGCATAGAATAGAATGATGATTTCCAGGGTCAGGAGACAGGGGGAGATGGGAAGTTGTTGCTATATGGGTATGAGGGTTCATTTACGCAAGATATGTAAGTTCTAGAGACCTGGTGTACAACATAGTGCCTATAGTCAGCAATATGTTAATATGCATTTAAACTCTGTTACAATAGTAGATCTTATGTTTTCTTATCACACATATAAAAACAAGCAAAGGGGATAAAAAGACTACCAGTAAGCTTTTGGAGGTGTTGGATATGTTTAATACTTCAGCTGTGATGATGGTATCACAGGTGTATATATGTTCCAAGGCATCAAATTGCATGCATAAAACATGTGCATTTTGTGTATCAATCATACCTCGGTAAAACTGTGAACAGCATTTACTGAGCACTTACTATGTGTCAGGTACCAGCATACACATTGAACATAATAGATAAATGTTTCTACCTTCATGGAACTTACATTCTAATGAAGGGAAGTAGAAAATAAGAAAACTAAATAAGTAAAAGTATAGCGTTATGGTTATTATGTTCAATTGTATCAAATATATTGTGAGTAGTTAATAAAGCAGGAGAGGGGATATGAAGTGTCAGCGGTACCCACAAAAGCCCTTACCAAGAAGGTGACTTTTTAAGAAAATGTAAAGGATAAAGTCAGCAAGCCACAGCTGTATCTATGGAAATGGTATATTACGCAGAGGGAAGAGCAGGTGCAAAGGCACTGAGGTGGGAGCATGTGTGATGTGTTCAAAGAACAGTGAGAAGCTCAGTATGGCCTGAGTGTAAAAGAGACAGAGTGAGATCAGCAAGTAAAGGGTTGAGGCAGTTTATACAGGGTTGTAGGGGTTTAAGAACTTTTGCTTTGATTCTAAATGACCTGAATTAGTTTTTAACCATGTCACCGTGACTTGCATGATCAGGGAGACCAATTCCCAGCTAATCCAAGTAAGAAATAATAATCATCTGAACAGGTAATAGCAGTAAAGATAATAAAAAGTGGTTAAAGTCTGGATATCATCTATTTTAATGCTAAATTCTTCAGGATTTGGTGATGGATTTGATGTGAACTGTCAGGTAAAGAGATGAATCAGGTTGACACAAAAGATTTTCACCTGAATAATGGTAAGGCTAGTGTTGTCATTAATTGAGGACAGGAACATTTGCAAGTAGAGCTTGGAATGGGGAATTACAGGAACCCTTATTTAAGCATGCTAAGTTTGTAATGCCTACTAGACATTCAAGGGGAAGTGGTAAGTAGAAATTTGGATATTAACATCTACAGCTGTACGGTGGCAGGTAGGGGGAGAAGAAACAGCTGCTATTAGTCAGGTATCATCTGCAATGGTTCACACAGAATGGCTATTATTAGAAAGTCAAAAACAACAAATGTTGGTGTGGATGTGGAGAAAAGGGGACACTTACACACTATAGCGGGAATGTAAATTACTTCAACCTCTACGTAAAACAGTATGAAATTTTTTCAAAGAACTAAAAATAGAACTACTATTAGGTCCAGCAATACCTCTACTGGGTATCTACCAAAGGGAAAAAAGAAATCATTATTTTAAAAAGATACTTGCACTTGTATGTTCATTACAGTGCTGTCCACAATAGCAAAGTCTTAAAACTAACAAGTGTCCATCAGTGGTTGGCTGGATTTAAAAATGTGATATATATATACACCATGAAATACTTTGCAACCATAAAAATAATAAAAAACATATTCTTGAAAGCAACATGGATGGAGCTGGAGGCCAATATCCTAAGTGAACTAACTCAGAAACAGAAAACCAAACACTTCGTCTCCTCACTTGTAAGTGGGAGCTAAACAATGAGGATACATGTTCATAAAGATGGGAACAACAGACACTGGGGACTCCAGAGGGTGTGGGAGGGAGGGTGGTGAGGGCTGAAAATGTATCTATTGGGTACGATGTCCACTATGTGGGTAATGGCTACCCTAGAAGCTCAATTCCCACCAGTATGCAATGTACCCATGTAACAAACATGCACATGTATCCTATGAGTTTAAAATAAGATAAAATAAAATAAAACAAATAGTGCAAAAAAAAAAAAAAAAAAAGGAAAGGAAACTTGTGTAATGCCTGTCTCCTTAAATCCTTGCTCTTTCTTCTTCCTCCCTTTTCTCCTCTGCAGAGGTAGAGTTTATGTGTTTTCTTTTTTCAAACCTGTCCTTCAAAGAAACTCATTTACACGGTGTCCTGGCTTCGGGTGTTGTAGTATGAATTACTGTAATCTCTGTTTGCAGTCTGTCTTCACCTCAGGCCCAATTCACCTGGACCTCAGCACTCCTTCATTTCCTCAGGAAAAAAAAAAAGAATAAAGAAAAATTTACCTGTGCCAAACATGGTAGAGAAAAATAGAACATTTCCTGACTCTTTCAAAATGAAAATACAGCAGTGACTGCATTTTCTTCCTATCCCTCATCAGCAATTTGCTCCAGACCCCCCCCCCACACTGCAGGTCCTAAGGTCACCTCCTAGCCAGAGCCTAAACTCCCCTTCCCACATTCCCCACTCTCCCTTTGGTCTCTATTATGCTAACACTCCAAGCACTTATTAAAGGAAATTTCCCGGTAAAGGAGGTCCGATTACCCACCCACCCATTATAGTAAGAAAGCAGGCAAGGGGAGGCTTGAGTGAGCTAAAACAAAACAACTTCCTTTTACTTGGTAGGAAAAGTATTTCTACTGGGTAATTTGTGATCTGGAGATCTTCTTGCTTCCAGGTCTAAATAATTGCGTAAACTCCATTTGTTTCATTTGAAATGTGGCTGTCATTTCCTGTCAGGAGGGAACAAGAGAAACTCCTAATACATGTTCATCCCCTGATCACCTGTCAGCCTCACAGGAACAAGCATCTCATAATTTGTCCCTGCCCGGGCACTTCATCTTCAAACAGAAACTGCATCTTAATTATAGGCTTTAATGGGCTGTTTCACTCCAGGATCAATATGTCTGACAAAAACCATGCTTTGCTAAAAGCTCATTAATTCACATCCGACTAATTCAGGATTTGTGATGATTTTGGCAGGGACCATGCTGAAGTTTTACCTCTTATACTGCTGCTTACAAAGGCTTAGCTTGGCCAATTAATTAGGGAGAATAGAATTGCCAGGGAAGTATTTACAGAACATCTATTTGCACGGAGATACAGGCTGTTTGTAGCTTCCAGACTGTTCAGCTCTTACCAGGCAACCCAATTTAACAATTATTTTTTATTAGCACTCTGGACTCAGAAACTGAAAAGTGTATTTTCTCAAAAAGCGTCTGCAGATGCACCGTGTTAGCCCCTTGTGGACCGTGCCTTTGGTACCTTACATCCATCGCTCGTTTTACCTCTCATTGCAGGTGCGGCTGTAGTGGACATTTTCATGTGGGGTCAGAGTCATCTCTATGGGCAACATCCAATCGCCAGCAAGGAATGTGAGCATCTCTTTGTTCTTTATCTCAGGACCTTCTCTGAACCCACAGGAGAAACAGGCTAGAAGTGTAGAGGGTTCATCTCTTCACAGGATAACGTTCTACCAAGAGGAACTGGTGTCAATATGGGTGAACACCTTGGAAGTTAAATCTCTAAGCTTTTCAGAAGTCCATGGCCAACAACTGTGACTGTGATCACGTGCACTGTTTTGTCTTTCGCTGCTTTCCTGTGTTACCCCTTCACTTCAGGGTATTGCTTCCCAAATAAACTGTCTGCCCCCAAGAGTCACACTCTGTTTTCAGGGGAAGCCAAACTAAGGTGCCCACTCCTCCAAACTTTTGTGTGAATGAATGTATTTGAGATGCTCACTCATTTCTTCACCCATTTGTTTTTTGATAAATGTATTCATTTCTTGTGCTTCTTGGGCTTAGGACTCTTGGTAGTATGTCAAACAAGCAATATCTATCTTCATTTTTTCCTTTTCTACCCTTATAGAACTCTTTCTCTTTTTGCTAATGTCTTTTTCTTGGGTTCTCATAATCTCTATATCCTTCTACCCAGTTCCAGTTTTTTCCCACTAATCTCATTTCTCTCCCTCCTCCTTTTCTCCAATATCCACATAAATTACTCCCCCCAGCTTTAGTCTCTGTATAGTGTTCTGTTTCTTAGTAAAGTAACCTCAACTAATATGGTAGATGGATCTGTGTCAAATGACTTCCATGTGTTTCTATTACTCCAAGAAGGTAAGGAACATGTGGTTATCCAGGACCTTCTAAGCAACTGAGCCTTTCCATGATTGCCCAAATCATGTCTAGATTTGATATCCCAACAATTCCTGTCTTCTTCATCCTAAATTGTCTTAGCATTTGGAACATCAACATCATCTTTTTTCCTCTGAGCTCCCTGGGTCATCCTGCTTCATCTTTTAGGTCTCTCCTTCTTTCCATGTTTTAACTTCTTGTTACTCATAATGTGATCTGTGGATCAATAACATCTATAAAACCAGGATGTCTTTTTTATATATATAGAATTTTGGGTCTTACACCTGCTCTACTGAACCACAGAATTTGCATTTTAAAAAGACCCCCAAGTGATTCATATGCATCTTAAAATTTTAGAAACGTTGTTGCAATTGATGGTGATTTCTTAGGTTTCCAGATGTGATTCTGTTCCTCGATTTCTACAGCCGTCTAAGAAATGTCTCTGTCCTCACACATGCACACGAATGTTCACTGCAGCACAGTTTACAAAAGCAAAGCCCAGGAACCAACCCAAATGCCCATCAATGATAGAATGGACTGGGAAAATGTGGCACATATACACCATGGAATATTATGCACCCATCAAAAATGATGAGTTCGTGTCCTTTGTAGGGACATGGATGAACCTGGAAACCATCATTCTCAGCAAACTGACACAAGAGCAGGAAATCAAACACCACATGTTCTCACTCATAGGCGGGTGTTGAACAATGAGAACACATGGACACCGGGAGGGTAGCACTACACACTGGGGTCTGTTGGGGAGAAATAGGGGAGGGACAGTGGGGAGTGGGGAGTTGGGGAGAGATAGCATGGGGAGAAATGCCAGATGGGGAGGAAGGCGGCAAATCACACTGCCACATGTGTACCTATGCAACAATCTTGCATGTTCTTCACATGTACCCCAAAACCTAAAATGCAATAAAAAAAAGAAAGAAAAAAGAAATGTCTCTGTCCTCATAGCTCCAGATAGTGTCCATGAACTGATAGCTGCAAGGACTTATTCCCAAAGCCTGGTGGGGTGGCTCACACCTGTACTCCCAGCACTTTGGGAGGCCAACGAGGGTGGATCACATGAGGTCAGGAGTTTGAGACCAGCTGGCTAACATGATGAAACCCCACCTCTACTAAAAATGCAAAAAATAGTGGGACATGGTGGTGCATGTCTGTAATCCCAGCTACTTGGGATGCTGAGGCAGGAGAATCACTTGAATTGGGGAGGCGGAGGTTGCAGTGAGCTGAGATCATGCCACTGCACTCCTGCCTGAGTGACAGAGTGAGACTCCATCTCAAAAATAAATAAATAAGAACTTATTCTCAAGTCTGATCTCTATTCCAAGCTTATGTTAATTTGTACAACTGGTGAACTGCCCACATGACAACTATATCTGGAAATCTCACAGATGAGCCCAAGTCAAGATATGGAAATGTGACGACTTCAATGAGGCTGTTGCTAGTTGTATTAGCCTGGATGCCTTTCGGAAGCATGTTCACAGGAGTGAAGCTGTTGCTGAAGGCTAGCCTGGAACCGATGTCAGTGGAAACCAATTTAAAACTGATACAGGTAGTTAAGGTTGCTATAGTCAAAAAAAAATTGGTCATATTCTTTGTTGAATTTGGAGTCTAAGAACCCTTTATTCCCCCAAATTAATAACTCCATTAATACTTAGTCCCACAAAAAATACTTTGTGGTAGATACCGTGTTACTTTTCCTGATCCCCTGTTCAGAGTAAACACAGCTATTCCTTTAATGCTGGGGGTATGTATCTGTGGCTGCAGCCCTTACTAGGAATTGTCCTGAGTTGTAATGTAAATGTAAAAATATAAAAAATACATTTTTTTGAAAGGTAAGTCCCTTCGCAGGGGGTAGATTAAGGTCATTGATGGACTGACATGGGGATAGAGGTCCAGCTTCCTTATTTCAAAATGAGATACCTCTGAAGGTCTCATTTCTAGTTTCATAGCTCGCAGAGAACCAGCCGAGGCCTCAGTAGCAACCACACCATGGATCAGATTCTCTCTCTATCCAGTACTGCCTTCCTGACTTCCCCACAGATGTATCTCCTGAGAGCATTCCTGCACACAATTCCTGCAGGCAATCATCTCAGAGCCCATTTCCAAAATATATGTCTTAAGACACTGCTGCTTCTGCATCACTCCCCCTCTTACTGAATGCACCAATATTATCCTGTTGCCCCAGCCAGACAAGAGGGAATGATTTTTGACTTTTCTCTCCTCATTTTATTTAGCTCAAACACTAGGATGCCAACATTGCATTTATGCTGCATTTTTATCCTTATGATCATTGCCCTAGTTGAAGATTTCATTCATCTCTTACCTGGATAACTACAACAGCTCCTGACTTCTTTTCTCACTGCAACCAAATAATATTTCTAAATTTAAAAAAGGTCATATTATTTACAATTCTTCAGTAACATCCTATTCCCGGAGCATAAAATCTACACTTCTGAAGATACTACATAACACCATTTGGCTAACTCAGCACTGGGCTTATGTGTCCCAGAGGAATCATTTCATTATGTTGCCACAAGCTATCAAATTGTCTCCATACATGAAAGTGGCCTTTTTGATGCCAAGAATGTGTTTTTGTCTCTCAGTATCCTTCTAGCCTTGTTCAAAGTGTGGCCTCTAGTGGGAACCTGAGTGAAAGTTTCCTGCAGACATCTACTCAATTCTCCTGTTATTTCTCTCCTCCCACCCATTCTATATTCACATTCACGGAATGAAATGAGATCACTGTTTGCTTATGTATCTAACCTGTCACTTACCTTTACTTCTTAAGAACAACCATTTAAACTTGAGGGCATGATGATCCATCAGGAATTTGCTGGGGTGGCTGGTCAACCAGGATTTACAGCACTCTGCTGATGGGATTCTTTTTATGCACCCTGTAAATTTTAGTTATCGCTACACTTGTCTGTGGCCAGCATGAACAAGGCTGGCTCCTTTTTGTAATTTCATAAGCACAATAAGATCATAAATTTCAAGCTGCCTTTTTTCCCTGTTTTTTTTTTCTTTTTCTTTTCAGTAGCCTATTGCCTGAAGTATAATGGACTTTCAAAGGAAAATGTCAGCATTAACAGACAGCTACTCTAAATGGACCAGGTAGTGTTGCTTCAAGGTTATTTGAAGGTCATCCCTACCTCATAACTGAAGACCTCAGACTGAAAAAGTGTAAGGATTTCTCTGTGACCAAGTAACCACACCTTTTCAGAGCTGAAGGACAAGTATGTGGATGAGTATCTAAATGTTAGTGCCATCCTCATGCCTCACCCAGATGGTGACCAGTTTTGGAAAAACTGGACAAATAGTTTACATCACAGAAATTTGCTCAGCCTTCCTGGATAATAGTAGCCTTCTTTTACTTCAGTACTGCGTAAATTTATCCCAGCAACATAGTTTATCATCACCCAGAATATTCTCAAAGATTGGAATAGTTTCTATAATAAACTTAGTTACAATAAGTATAGATTTACAGAATAATTGAGAAAAAAATACAAAAATTTCTCATATATACGATACTTAGTTTCTCTTGTTATTTAACTTCTTACATATTGGTATGATACATTTGTTATGCATAGTTAGCCAATATTATCTAAGATCCTGATTTATTAATGTTTCTTTAATTGTTTTGTTTTTGTTGTAGGTGATGTTTTCTGTTTTTTTTCGTTTGGTCCATTTTGACGACCTGGGCAGTTTTGAGCAGTACTGGTTGGGTATTTTGTAGAATATCCTCAAATGAGATTTGTCTGTTTTTTTTTGTTGTTGTTGTTTTCTTTTCCCTCTCTCCTTTTTTTTTTTTTTTTTTTTCATATTTGACTGGCTGTTTAGGAAGACCCCAGGAATAAAGTGTTATTCTCATGACATCATATCAAAAGTACATATGCTACACAACATCACTATTGATGTTAACATTGATCACCTGGCTGAGATAGCATTTGTCAAGTTTTTTCAATGAACATTTACTCCTTTCTCTTCCTTTCCATATTATAACTCATTGGAAGGGAATCATTATGTGCAACTCCTACACGAGGAGCAGAGAATTCTGCTCCATCTCTTTGATGGCCAAGTATCTATATAAATTATTTGAAATTCTCCTGCATGGGAGATGTTTCTATTGTTACCCACTTATTTTTTATTCAACAATTTATATCAATATGGACTACTCTATGTGATACTGTAAGCAGATCTTGTACTTTGGGTAATAATTGAGCACTACTTATTCCTTAGTTTGTTACTTGGATTGTTTCAGATATAGCCACTGAACTCAGTTGGCTCTTTTGTTTCTTTAATGTATTTCCATTACTGTGGGGTTTTGTTTGTTTGTTGGAGCACATCTTTACTTTCTGACCCTGCAAGATTCTCCAGGCTTATCTCCTGTCATAGTCGTAGAAAAAACCATTTCTCTAAGGATCCCTGGTTCCTTTTATAGGGGGATGGCATTAGAAACTTAGATTTGAATATTAGATGTGCTTGTTGCTATTGGAATACTATTTCTTCTAGACCCTCTTTACTAACAGAATGGGGAAATATATTTGTGTATAATAACCTGTGAATGTACATATATACATAATTATTCCTATGTGCAACCATCTGTGTCTATATTAAGCTAAACATGAGTTTACACTGATATTCTACTGTATGGATATGCAATCATTTGTTTTTGTATTTACCCGCTGATTTAGGTATTTTTTGTTTACTAGGTTGTATCCAGTGGTAGGAAATTTTTATATTTGTTTTTGTATTTACCTGTTGAAGAAGGTATTTTCTATTTACTTGGTTATAGCTACTCGTAGGAAATTATAAATTAAGCTGCATTAAACATTTATGTGTAGGTTTTTGGTTTTTGTGTGAACATGAGTTTTCCAATCAGATTAGTAAATAAATAAAGGCACAATTGCTGGGTTATGGTAAGATTATGCTTAGTTTTTCTAGAAACTGTTACTTTGTCTTCCAAAAGGCTATCCCATTTTTATTCTCACTAGCCTTGGTGAGAGTTCTTAATGCCCTAAAAACTTGTCAGCAATTAGTAATGGCCTTTTTGGGTTATGATCATCCTAATTGGCTTATAGCAATATCTCACTGTTATTTTCATTTGAAATTCTTTAATGAAAAATAATGTTGAACATCTTTACATATGCTTATTTGCAATTTGTATATCTTCTTTGGTGAAGTGTTTGTTCAGATTGTTTTCCATTTTTAATTGGGTTGATTTTTATGTCGAGTCTTGAAAGTTCTTTGCATATTTTGGACAGTTTTTTATCAGATAATTCTTGCAAATACTGTCTCCAATCTGTGATTCATCTTTCGGTTCTCTTAACAAAGTCTTTCACAGATCAGAAGTGTTTAATTTTAATAAAGTCCAATTTAACATGTTTTTATCTTTCATGGATCATGATTTTGATGTTGTAACTAAAAACTCATCACTGAACCCAACATCATTATTTTTTTCTTCTAGAAGTTGTATAGTTTTCCATTTTGCCTTTAATTCTGTGATTTATTTTTGTAACAATTGTTTGAGATACAATTAACATTGCATGCAATTTACCCATATAAGTATACAATTAAAGGCCACTAGTATATTGACAGAGCTGTGCAACCACCACCACCACAATAAATTGTAGAACATCATCAACACCCCAGAAGCAAAATTATCCAATTTTCCCCTGCCTACTGCTCCTAGCTTTAGGCAATCACTAATGTGCTTTTGTCTCCATGGATTTCTCTGTTCTGAATATTTCAAATAAATGGAAGCATAGAAAATGTGGTTTTTGAACTGGCTTCTTTCACTTAGCACAATGTTTTCAAAGTTTATCCATTGTGTACAATGATAAGTGCTTTATTTATAATGTTCCATTATATGGATATATCACATTTTGTGTACCCATTCATCACTCAGTAAAATTTTGTATTGTTTCCATCTTTTAGCAGTCATAAAAAATGCTGCTGTGATCCTTGGTGTATAAGTTTTTCAGTGAAAATACATCTTCATCTCTTAATTATATACCTAAAAGTATAATTGCTGGTTCTTATAGTAACTTTATTTTTAAGTTTTGAGAAATCTATTATTTAGTTGCAAGTATTCTTTATAAATTCTAAATATAAACCCTGTATTAGTTTATAATTTAAAAATTCTTCCATTTTATCACTTATATTTTTACTTTCTTTGTCTTTCTTTTAGAAGAACAAGAGTTTTTAAATGTGATGAAATCCAATTTGTCTACTCTTTTTGCTTTCTTGTTTGTGCTTTGGACTTCATATATGAAAACTTATTGCCACACACACACACACATATATATATACACATACATATATACACACACATATATACACACATACATAAATATATATACACACATGTATATATATACACATATATAAAAATATATAAAACCTTTTAGAATGCCTTGTAAACTTGTACTGAAAGCATATCAGGTAATGACAATTGGAGTAAATAGGACTTTAACATGAGGTTTTATATAAAGTGACTAGGAGTTGTGCTGTGTTTAATCTTTGCTGTACCTATATTGTTTTCATTTCCGATGACATTAAATTTCATCGGTACTCATCAGAGAGAGTCTGCACCCTGCAGCTCATCTGCTAAATATCTACCATTATTATATTGGAGTAGTATTGGTGTTATTGTAAAGTGTGGCAGAGAGGATACAGTCATAAATTTATGATTAAATCTTATTATTTTCATGGGCTTCCGTCCCAGGACTGTGACATTTACAGGTGTTTCTTATCTTTTCTATGCCTTCTTAGGTGAGGCAGGAATGCTAGAGAAAAGAGGACTGGATTGGGAGGAATGCTCTCCTTCTAGCTGGAATAAAGTTCTGACAAAGTCATTTTTTTCTCCTAGAAGTTATGCCTTTTTATGGAGACTGTTGCTCTGGATATATTTTGCAAGGTTTACTCCCCTTACCTACTGAACCATGAGGGAGTCTTTCTTAAATCTTTACCATTAAAACTTAAAGAGTTCCTTGCATTTCTTGGTGTAGGCTCTGCCCTAAGATTACAGTCCCATGAAATTTTTCATTCCTGTACTAATCCACACTCAGCTTTCAGCAGTTCATCAAAATTCCCATTTAAGTCTTTCTACCAATTTATGCCCCCAGCAGCTTCTGCTGCAGTTAAGTACATCTTGTCTGTAACACTCCGTGTTTGCCTGTTTCTACAGATTTGGTGTAGTGGTTTACCCTGTGACCAACATTATCTGATAACTCCAAGGAAATGCTTTGATTTTTAGTTTATTTGGCATTTTCTTGTTTCAAGAATAAGAGTGATGACTTCAAATATCTTTACATATCAGAGCTAAAACTGAGCACATTGGGAGTCAAGATCATCCAGAACTCCTGGAAGTTACCTCCATGATTCTCAACTCTCCAATCAACCTTATGTTAACAACAAGCAAATATATAATCAAACAATACATGCTCACTAAAATCTATTAAAGCTTTCTTTTTTTAACTGAGTACCAGAGACTTAAAGATCTCATAGTCAATGTTTTTTCATTTATGAATCCTGGGCACAAAATTGCTTTGGGTATTTTTTCTAACTATTCATCTGACAAATATTGTGCTTGCAAAACATTAAGTCAACAAATGTCTCTAGTCAGTATACAATGTATAAAATCAAATACAAAGTGAGGGAGAAAACTTTTGGTTTTGTATATTAACTGCTGATCAGTAACCAAAAGATGATTTTGAAATCCAAAAGAGAGATTGATCATTATTATTTTCTTAAAAATGTTGCCACATCAAAGAAAAAAGTACAGAATTGCAAGATTGGAAATGAGAACTGAAACCAACATAATTTCCTATCTCTGAGTTAAATAACACTGAGAATGGAGATATTTTTCTATCTCTCTGTTAAATAGCACAAAAAACAAGCAAAATAACATAGCTACTTGCTCCAGAATATTCTTCTTCAAGAAAGAATGCAAACAACTGAAATTACTTAAATACTATGAGCAATAGGCATGCTTACCAAGCTTTGTTCAGGAGCCTTACCAGTTTTGCTCAGTAACCCAAAGCTATTATGTCGTAAATTCTGCCCAGTCACAGTTTCTCATGTTCCAAAACCCACTTTAAAATCCACCAGTCCCACCCCTAAAACCCTCTATAGATCCTCTCTCTAATTCTCCCTACTGAGCCATCACCAAGACCTATGAAGGTGGTGACACAGTTTGGATGTTCACCCTCTCTAAATCTCATGTGGAAATATGATCTTTAATGTTGGAGTTGGGGCATGGTGGGAGGTGTTTGGGTGTGGGGACAGATCCCTTATGAGTGGCCTTCCTTGTGGTAATGAATGAGTTCTTGCACTATTAGTTCACTAGAGAGCTGGTTGTTTAAAAGAGCCTGGCATCTCTCTCTTGTTCTTTCTCTTACCATGGGACATGCCTGCTCCCCCTTCACTTTCCACCCTGAGTAAAAGCTTCCCGTGGTCCTAACCAGAAGCAGTTGCTAGTGCCATGCTTCTTACACAGCCTGTGGAACCATGAGCCAAATGAACCTCTCTTCTTTATAAGTTACCCAGTCTCACATATTCCTTTATAGCAACACAAAACAGACTAACACATATTCTACTTCACTGAAATAAATCTAACAATCTTAGCTTTGCTTGATCAATAAGTGTATTTAAAGATCTTTTGGGAAATTGATAATTGACAAAAGAAGTTGAAAAGGGAACTGAATGTAGCATATTTTAAGGCCTGTAGCATAGTTTACGTTGTAGAGTCTAGTATTGCTCTTGTATTTTTTTTTTTTAAGTAGCCCTAAATCCTTTCTAGTAACAGGAAACCTATCATACTTATTTTCCTTGTTTTCTTCTAAGACAAACCTGTCAAAAACTTCTCCCTTATTTGGCTAAATTCCATCTCCTTTTTTACATTAACCACTGGAAAGCTCATAAACCCTCTTGCATAATGTGTGATGATTTATGCCTTTTATATGCACTTTCCTGAAAAACAAATGCAATAATAGTTCTCCTCTTGAGAAGCCTAAAGAGAAGCTTAAAGAGGAAGGTAACTTATGACTGTTTTAACATATTTTAAAAATATAGATGGCTCCTTAAAGACCTCAAATGGACAACAAAACATTTTAACAAAATCTGAGGAGATATCTACTTATGGGATTTATTATCAAAGATCTAATTTCCAGTGACAGCCATTCTCAAATATTATTTGAGATCACTGTAAATTAAGTAAGCAAGCCACAATCAGAGTCTAGAAAAAGCTTCCCTCCATCTCTACTTACTATTTTTTTTTTTTTTGTCACCACTTCTTAAATCCACAGAGCACAGACAGCTTGGGAAATGATTTTCATGTCAAGACATAATTGCATTATAGGCTGATATGTAAATCATTTTCTTAAGTAAGGTAAGTTATGCTATGCCACTGATCAATAGTGACTGCATTTATTTCTCTTTTTCATTATGTTTACATATTCATAACATACCACTTTGTGCCTACATTTCTAAGTCCACATATACTATTTTAAAAGCTCAAGATCTGTTGGGACAATGTGGACTTGGTCATAATCTGGCTTCTCTGGGTCATTGTCGGGCAACTGGCCAAAGTGAGCCTGAACAGAAGAAAATCTGTGGAGAAACACATAGATTGACCACTTAACTGTCCACATATGCTGGCAAAGACACGGATTTGAATGACCTGCCCAGCTCCTTAACGTGCCTCTCCCCACTGGCCACATCTGAAAGCTCTTGATGTATCCACTTATAGGCTTGTGGGTCAAGACAGTAGTCCAAGGAATAGGAGAAGCACTGATTCAGAGGTTCTAACACTGTAATCTGCAAAGAACTGTGCTTCAAGGGATGATCAACAGTGAGTACCTCTGAGTCAACAAAACTTACTACAACCAAACAAGTGGTATATTTTTGTTTTCTTGTTTTACATAGTAATAGTTACACAGATTTTATCTGAATAAAAAGAAAAAATGCTTCTGATGAAACATTTGAAAACTAGTTATCTATTTCCATACTATAGGGACTTGTATCCAATTCAATGTAAGCTTTTTTCTATTCAAATTCATGCACCCCTTCAAGTCTCTGTGCAGACCTGGATGGTGCACAGATCCCAGTCACAGATCCCTGTCTTATGACCACTGATGGCTCTGTTATCTGCCAACAGTCTTCCTTGACACGTGTTACCTGCCTTGTATATCTACATGTTGCTGTCTTACGTGCCTTTGGGCACCTTCTCCCTGGGACCCATCTGCCTAGCAGGTGACTCTCACAGCCTGGCCCTCAATGTCCTACTCCAATGGCCCTTTATCATCTATGGAGTCATTATCATATCTTCAGCAGGTCTTCCCTCACCATCTTTTCCACAATAGCAAATACATTTGGTTTGGCT